ACACATTACAGCAGGTCAGATCTCTGCCTGTCATTCCATTAAAGTGGCATATTTCTGCCACTTGTCTGGTATGAAAAGCACAGTAAAAATCTACAGACTTTCTTTGTGGCAATACTGCCTGTCAGCATCAGTATGTTATGGGAAGATCTAATAGACTCATAAAATATCATGGTTTTGAGCTATACTTGAGGTAGTCTGTACATTTGTGATCTAGTTTTTTTCTTTCTTTTCTCATTTGTGAATAAAGGATGACAAATAACTTTGATTAAACAGACTAAACTGACCAGATGGCAGTGGATTCAAATGGAGTCAAGATGAGCTCCTAACAGGTATTAATTTGACATGGTAGTTTCCCTTTCACTGCTGCCAAAGTCACGACAGCTACTTCTCTCAGTAAAAGTGCAGGCGTATCCTCTTAGCTTGTATTTTTCAATGACTCTTTAAAATCAAAGCCCACAGAGGCAGGAAGGTGGATTTGAAAGTGGCTGAACTGCTGGGCTTAGGGGGTTGTGATAGCAAGACAGAGGCCAGCTGGAGGCTGTTCAGTATTTGGAGTCCCCTAAGGGTGCTGGGGCTAATACTGTTTAACCTCTCTATAAGTGAACTGAAGGCTGTGGGATGGAGTGCAGTCTCAGCAAGTTGGCAGATTATCCCAAATTGGGAGTTTGGTACACCAGGTAGTTGTGCTGCAATACTTGGACAGGCTGATGAAGTGGACAGAGAGGAACCTCATGAAGTTCAACCAAGGGAAATGCAAAGCCCTGAGCCTGAGAAGAATAACCCCATGCTCCAGTACAGAGGCTTCCTGGCTGGAAAGCAGCTCTGCAGAGAAGGATCTTGGGGTCCTGGCAGTCAAGCTGACCACAAGCCAGCGCTGCAGTGTCACAGTGAAGAAGACCAACAACATCCCGGGCTGCACTGCACTAGCATGGTCAGCAGGTCAACAGAGGTGACCTTTCCCCTCTGCTCTGCAGTGGTGAGGCCACATCTGAAGTGCCGTGTACAGTTCTGGGCTCACCAGTATAGGAAAGACACGGGCATCCAGGAATAAGTCCAGGGAAGGGGCCCTATGACCACTAAGGGACTGGAACATCTGACCTACAAAGAAAGGCTGAGAGAGCTTGGGTTGCATAGCTGCCTGACCTGGAGAGGAGAAAGCTCAAAGCAATATTGTCTGCAAATACCTGATAGGAAGGAATGAAGAAGTTCGAGTCAGGCTCTTCTCAGAGAGTCTCTCTGAGTTTCAGGGTCTCATCAATGCCCAGTGACAAGACAAGAGACAAGGGCACAAACTGAAATGCAGGAAATTCTGTTTGAACATAAGAAAAGTCATATTACTGTGAGGGCGGTCAGACACTGAAACAGGCTGCCCAAAGAGCTTGTGGAATCTGTCTTGGGGATATTCAAACCTGACTGGACATGATCTTGAGCAGCCTGCTCTTGCTGCCCCTGCTTTGAGCTAGTGGGTTGGAACAGACAATTCCTAGAGACCTCTGCCAGCCTCACCCGTTCTGTGATTTCCTCCATCCATAAAAGAAATTTTATGAATCAGAGACAGACCATTGATATTTTTAAAAGACGAACTAGGACTGCTCAGTCCCACTTGCCAGACTTGCACTGTTCTTCCATTGCTTGATTTCTTTTGAGTCCACAGGGTCTTGTCATTCGTTAGCTCATTCTTTCCTTGCCTGTGGTCTGCGATTATTGCTCACCTACACACCTTGTTCTTACCATCCTAGTTCCTCATCAGGTCCTTGGAGAAATATTCATTTCCTTGACTTTCCTTGCCTTGACTTTCATCTAAGAGTTCATAATGTTTCCTTCATCCTTAACTCCAGTACTTAATTGTCATGGCCTAAAAACCCAGATCCATGTTCTAGACCAGGAACTGCCTGTGCTTGTAATTTGACTAGGAAATAAGTCAAAAGATAGTGTAGCAATTGTGAAGTTAATATTAAAGTTATTTTGCTTCCTCTTCATTGTCCTTCCTCTTAGGTGTTGTGTAGTCTTTGAACTACATCATGAGAGAATTGTCATTATTGCTTTAGAAATATTGCAACAGTTCATACCAATTTAATATTAGCCAAATAATATCTAAAGTGCTATCTTCCAGACTAAGGAAAATGTAAAAACTAAGGTAATTAAAATTTGTACTTGCCTTTTTATTATAATGGTGACTGATGCAGTGGAAACCAAACTGTCTTTGGGCTTGCGTTGAAAAAATAACTTCCCCAGGCAAATCAAGAAAGTAAAATTGGCAATGCTGACTTAATTCCTCAATCTGGCATATAGGTCTGCACTTCAAGTAAGCCTGGTGTTGGCCAGCAGATTTTACTTTTACTTTGAAACCAGATACATTTTAATTATGTTCCCTCTAGATATTCTCTTAATTAATTGGAAATATCCTAAGAGTTAATTAAAAATACAAACTTTATTTGATTCTATATCAAATCTGACATTATGATCTTTTTATCTACAAAGTAAGAATTATGTGGGATCAGAAATCTGAATTATTCATGATGGTTTCCAGCCATTTTTTTCCTTCCTCCTTTGTTCAGTGTAAAATCTTATAAGCTTTTCTTTCAGTCAAGGTGAAAGCAATATTAAGTCTCGGAAGTCAAACTTACGAAAGACATGTAGCTCTGTGAAATCCTTGCCCTGTAATCCTGGCTTTCTATTCACCACCACTATTCAATATCCCACTTTCAGTATAAGCTTCACAATATATCAGCAGTTGATGAGATTTATTTGTTATACTCCTGTTTTCCTTCTTCATAAAGAAGCTTTATCCATCCCTTCACTCCCCTAGGAGTAACACATGTCTGTGATTGTTTCTGCTGGGCTCACTAATCCAGCAGCTCCCTTCAACATGCTGGACAGTTGGTAGAGGGTGGAAGGTGAGGGAGGAGTAGAACTGTACTTGTTAAGATTTAGGACTGCAATGAAGTGTGTAGTGAATTTTAAAAACATTGTTAAGATCCAGTTCAATGGTTATGAGCTAACAGGGTTTGTTGTGTGAGTAGAAATGCTGGCAGGTCACTTCTAAAAGATGCTTTATGAATTAAAACTTGACTGTAGTATGTTGAACCTCTCTACAGGACTAACCAGAATTATTTCTGGTCATTTTGAAGACATGACAACAGATGAGACAAAGTTGAGTCCGATCTATGCTAATGAGCATTTCCTATTTGCATTATTGCTCCTGATGCCTGTAGCGGCTCCATGTGTGTTTTTCTTACAGCCTCTGACTTCATCTGTGGTGATATTTTTCTCTTAAATAAACACATTTCTGTGTAGAAACGTAAAAGCTTTCTTATTTGTTATTAAGGTTGAAACCACAAAGAGTATTGTTGTTCTTAAATAAGTTCTTTGTCTCTAACCTGCCTTTAAGGTGAAATTAAAACACAGAGAATTCAGTATGCAAATAGCATGCACACCAGATGATCTGAAGAAAGCCTGCACATTTCCATAGAAAACAAATGTGAGTGGAGGAAAGCAGATGCTTTCTACCAACGGAGTGTACATACAGTTCTCTAGAGGACCTGAACAGCAATTTATTTTCAGACTGCTGGAAGTATGCAAATTCCTACAGAATTAAATGTGAATTTAAAAGAAATGGCATCTATTAAGGACAATACTACCCAAAGAGGCAATTGGGAACTTAATAATTTAATCAAGAACTTGAACAGGCTCAGCCGTATATCTAAAGTCAGTGACTCAAATGTCATCTGTTTTTAGCAAAGACATGTTGAAAAGATGTCTTTTAAAGTATAGGCATTTGGAGCATTTTTCTGTGACCATGGACAAGTATGTTTGTATGGTGTGTATAGATTTTTGGATGATTCTCCATCAAAAAGCGTCATCTGTTCACTTGAGCTGCTCATAGGATGTAGTCAGTGATACACGTGTGTGTATCACCAGCATTATGTTGATTATTTTTAACCCAGCAGTTCTGGGTAAGATGAGTTATGTCCTGACACACATGGAATCACCACAATTATAAATTAAATTCTTACTGCTGGATGTTGTTGCACCTGATGGCTGTAGGACTGGACAGATGTTACTGAGATTACCATCTGAAGGCAAGGGCTGGGTCCGAAGTGCAGTGGCATAAGTCTTGCACGAAGGGATTGCTGGTGAGGCAGCACTCAGCTGCATAGACGTGGGAGATATGTATGTTTTCCTTCTTTATGCAAAAGCACAGTGTTCCTAAAGTGGGGATGAGCATACAGGATGGCAGAGTTCAGGCTCGCCAGACACTCTTCCCTGTGACCCTCACAGAATCCACCTGCTCAGTTCATCCTACTGCCTTTTTGTCTCTTAGCAATTCCATTTAATGACTCTGTTTGTACAGAGAGATGCCCAAGTGGGGTCAGGGAGGGCAGGAGATGATGTGCAACATAACATTTAGTAGAAATTTTGACAAAATGCTTAAGGTCAGATGTATCCATTTAGATGCACTGGAAGTGACAAGTTTTCAGGCCTTTTGAAAGCTGTGAAAAGGCAATGAAGGTCACTGCTTATAACTTTGGGAATTTGACTTTAAGCATTCATGTATGACAAGGCTTGGCCAGGGTTGTCATGGCAGGAAACTCCCTGTACAACCTGAAGCCCACCCAGCCCTGCTGTGCTGGTAGTTTAATAAAGACAGTGAGTGGCTGGGCTGTGTCCTCCACCTCTCATACACTCCACAAACAAGGAACAAAGTAAACAGGAGTTTAGTGAGTGGGTGGATATAGTATTACCTCATTTCAGAGCAGAAGACACTGTGATCACAAGAGTGAGTTTGCTGGGTAAGGTCATCTCTGCAAGCGGAGTCTCCTCAGCCTTGTGAGTTACTCTTCATTTTACTCTGCTCGTGTGTTTTAAAAGCAGAAATTACTACATCATGTCCATGGATTGAGCATAAAAGATTACCAGAATGATCATTCTCTGGCTGTTTTCCACTGGTTGAGAGTCACCTTACAGCTGAATAATATGTCATTTTTTTCTTCACACAGGTTGTAGTCCTCGGCAAACATTCTAGAGGCTATCACTACATGTTAGCTAACCTGGTAAGAACTTTTCTAAATGACAAGTATAGCTGCATTTTAGAGGGTAATATATTCTGTTCAGGTTGTGGCAACTTTAATAAGAAAGTGGAAATGCATGGATGAGTTCTTGGATTTTGAGAAATTACTTCAGTAAATGCTAGAACTGGTATTTCATTTTTACTCAGTTATGGTTGTTCTTTTGTCTGAGAATCTCATATCCTCTACCAGTTTTAAAATAATAATTTAATTGTATGCTTTGCACTGATTTCTGTCCTCATAAATTAAATGTTTGTGGCTGTAATCTTCTATGTAACATACTTTATATTTAAGTACTCCAGGAAAAATAATTTTAGCATATTTATGTATAAGTGGTAAAAAGCTGAAAATTAGAACAATTCCATTAACTAAACCAGCCAGACTGTTTAGCTTTTCTTTTGTATTTCAGACTGTAGGGCTGTGCCTTTGTATGTGCTGACCTACCAGGAAGAGGCAGGACATTTTTATTTGTATCAGAGCTTCTTCTGGATTGTAGGATTGACTTTCAGGGACTTCTGTGATGCCTTTGAAACACCATCTGCTTAAGTTCCTTATAAACATCTTGTTTTGTAATTAATCCTGCAGGAAGACTCAGTTTTGAGTTCTGTGTCTACTGTGATTGGAAAAATGTTTTTCCAAACCTCACACTTTCTAGTTAGCAATCCTACTTACTCAAAGATTTTCTATATCCATGTTTTGGTGTGATTAAAGCAGAAAAGACAAATTTTAAATTACTCTTATTTAGTATAAGTACTGTCTGACTTTAAAATGTGTCATTTTGCATTATAAGAACCAGTCATGATCTCACTGATTAGCGTGTGCATAGAAATACAGAGGTTCTTATTCTGGGTTGCCTTTTAGCATGTGTAACCATTGACATTCAGATAAACATGACTGCAATCAAGTCATACTAATCAAAAAGACTCCAATTTACTGCCTCAGGTATAAATAACAACAGAGTGGGAGAGAATCATCCCCATTCTGTTTGCAAGTGAAATGCTAAGCGATGCTGTGATGGAGAACTGCCTGGCAACAGGTGTGTGCTTTGCCTCCACAGAACAGTTGAGTGTCGAGTGGTTTTCTGCTCCCAGCCCTGAACCTTCATTTGCACTTTGCTGTACAAATGGGATTTGAGGTCTTTGACCAGTTTCATCATGCTGAGGACAACAGAGGAAATAGTACTTCAAGTTTCCCCCCAGTTTTCTTTCTGACTGGTGAACATTACATACCACGTTGCCACAATCCAACAAGGCAGTTTTGTACTGAAAGAACAAAAAGATGTTTTAAATTCTATTCTGTGTCTCCTTGGTAGAATATTGTCAGCTAACAAGAGGAACATTAATCCATTTCTTTTGTGCTGCACTTGTAGCAGGTAAAACTGAGCCAAAGAAAAGGGACTTTGGATGACAATGATTCTTGTTTTCTACATGTGTCCTCCCAGGGTTTCACAGACATTGTTCTGGAGAGAGTAATGCATGGAGGTGCCAACATTACTGGATTCCAGATTGTTAATAATGAAAACCCAATGGTTCAACAATTTCTACAGCGCTGGGTGAGGCTTGATGAAAGGGAATTCCCTGAAGCTAAAAACTCACCATTAAAGGTATTTATTTTAGCCTGACAGTGATGGCAATGATATGCTTTTAATAATTATTTGTGACTTTTTAACCTCAGATATTTGCATGTGTATGATACAGATCCCTGGTTAGACTGTACTGCAACATTCACTGCCCTTCCAGAAGAAAGAAGCAGAGGCTGGTAGTCAGACACAAGTGCCCACCATGGTGGGAGTTCCTTAGAGGCAGAGGCTTGGGCTTGCAAATCCTGTCGTTGTGCAGTGGATATAACAACTTTTGACTTGAGCTTCTTGAGTTAGTTTTGGGGTGGGGGTGGGGGCTAATTAGGTTAGGGTTTAGATGCAGACTGTGGATTACTAGTCCATTTAAATGGTAATAGAGAATTTCATGTGCAAAATGTAGTAGCTCTGAATTCACTGAGGAGCCACTGCTACCTCACAGTCACTGCTGACAGTTGCCCTCCTAATCTAACCCTGTATTTTGCACCTCTGTCCTTTACTTGAATAGTCTGGCCATTATATCTGCAACCAATAAAATTTTTCAATTTTTTTTGAATGGAAGTCCCAGGTTCACCAAAACTGTCATAGAGTGAGTGAAGTAAATGCCATTCTTATTAGGAGACTGGCAACCTGTTACTCTCTCCCCCAGATCTTTTTGTGCCTCTACTATAGCATCTCTGTAGTAGAGATGCTATTCACTGTCCAGTCAAGGAGTGCATCAAGGATACTCTGTCCAGGCATGGAAATTATAAAATCTTCTAGGACCACTGCATATTACTAATATTCCTATTACATTCCTTCTTTCTCTTCTTTTTGTGAGGGTTGTTCTTTTTCAACAATATCCATAGGTGAATGGATATTGGTCTGGTGGTAGATGAGAAGATCTTAAATTCTGTCGCTCCCAGAAGTCCAGTCAGGGAAGCCAAACCTAAGAACCACAGCCATAATTAGACAGTTCATGTCTTTCCTGTTAATTTGGGTGGGACACATGCAAGTTGATGAACAGATTTGGATTTCAAAATTACTTTGATAAACTGGGATCATGTCTTGGTATTAGTAAGACAAAATTCAGGAAAGCATTAAAATACTAGATAGGAAGGAAAAATCTCTTCCAGTCCCATGCATGGGGGGTTACCAGGGTAGGTGGCAGTGCTGGGTTGGACTAAAGACACAACAGGAACCAGTTACGAGGTTCTGCTGCTTCTGGCAGTGCCATTCAGAGATACACTTTTCCATCCCTGGGAGCATATGATTTCTGTGAGGGAGGAAAATTATCTTAATCCCACACCATCCCACAGCCTTGGTGGGCATTTCAGAGGAAGCAGAGAAAGGCAAACAGAGGCCCACAAAGCCCAGATTAGTGTATTGTTGCCCGTGGATTAGGACCTAGTCCTGCTTTCTAAAGCTTCCTAGCAGTGATGCAGAAGTGAAGATAAGTATCATACTAATCTTAAAAGCTCTGAAATACATACAGTTAACCTGAGAAAATTTTATTCCACTTGAAAGCAATTTACCTTGAGGGAATAATTATTCTTCCTCCTTAACAAAGGTTCTTAAGTATATGGTACAAACACAAAGATTACATTACCTTTGCACAAATGTATCGCTCATTATAGAAATGTGCACAGTATTTGTCAATCAGACAAAAAGCATACTTAAAAATTGATGTACAGTATTTTTGATTAGGAAATAAAATTGCCTAGAGATTAAAGCCCCGATGTTTAATTTATTCTGTATTTTATCAGCCTTTCCCTTCTTTCTCTCTTTTTTCTCTTTGCATGCTCATGCATTTATAAGTAGAATTCAAATAAAGTAGAAAATTAGATAGCTCTCTTGGCATGACTTGGAAGGGACTGCATTAAGGTTACTGACAATTGACGCAGTCTGCTGAAAAAATTATCAGTGTGTAAGTTTTATGTAGTGCTAGATTGGACAGCTATTACAAGATTTTTTTTTAATACAAGAACAAATACCTTAAAAATACTGTCTGGTTCTGTATTGTTGCGTGGATTGTGACGTATAACCTTTGTTAACTTTCTAAAAGAGGAGAGAGTGATCATTGCAAAGCACTACAGGGAGAGGTGCAGGTGGGCATGATCAGAGAATGCCTGTGCCTTTACAGGCAGAGGAGGAACCACCACACACACCCAGTAAGAGTTTATAAACTGTTGTTGTTTAAAGGTCAGTAAGAATGTCTGCTGTATAACGTTTTTCACAGCCCTACCTTTGCACTCTTTTTTAGCAGACAGAATTCTCTTGATCTGCACATGCAGACGCCTCACTGTGTGCAGAATTCATAAGGGCTTCTGTCAAACTGAAGGATAACACACAGTTTTAAGAAACGCAGACCTTCAGTTGTGCTATCCTGCCCTACAGGATAGAATTAACTTCTTCTGAATATAATAAATCTTATCCACAAAGAGAGAATCAGAACAAGCAGTTGAAACTTGGATTTCGGCCTAACTCGTGCATGGGCAGCACGTCTTCTGGCACGAACTCCAGCATCAGGTTCCTTGGGAGGCAGGGTCTCTGTGGTACCACAGACTGCCAAAAGAAGGGCAGGAGCACCAGTACATGCAGATCCCTCTTACATTCTTCTTTTTTCCTCTTCATCCTCTTACAAACGCTGTGGAAATATGAAGGATCAGTTACAAGAGGGTTGAAATCTGGTCTTACACACTGAACACATTTGATTGCTCCCAGTAGGTGTGTGCTGACAGGGTCTCCTCTACACAGACCCTGAAGTTAGAGGTGTAATGCCAGTGAAAGCCAGAGATGTCACATGCAAAGTCCAGGAGGGACAAACTTTCAGACAAACACATAAATGTGGAAAAAATGTGAAAAAACCCCCACTTCCATAACATTTCCTAGGAGATACTAAATTTATAGCACCAGGGGGTGTCACCAGATATATGTGACAAGCAGTGGACGAAGTTGACAGCAACAGGAACAAGTAAGTTAAGTTGTTTGGGAGTTTTGTTCAAGAGCTGCTGCTACACACAGTTTCCCACCCTCTGCAGATTTGCCATGGAGTAAGGGAAGGCAGGTGGGAAATTACTGAAGAGATGTAATGCCTAAAGTGTATTTTGTGATTGCTTGCCTGTATAGCTGTTTTCTAAGAAAACTAATCTGATCTGTTTCTTGCCACAGATGCTACCTAATCAGAATTGTGATCCAAGCAGAAGTGATTTATGTTAACTTCAGTTCAAAGCTGTCTTGGCAATCTTGTTAAAACAAAAAAAATTACTCCAAGCAAAAACCCACATATGAGCTTTTCTTTGGTAGCAGTATGGTCCAGCATGGAACTGCAGACTTTTGTACTAACCTCATTTAATGAGGTTTCCAATTAAATTGAAATTTTGTGCAACTATAAACTGGTTTTGTTATTTTGCTGCTATATATGCTATACAAAATGAAAATATTTTTAATTTGTTAATTGAAATAAGTTGAATTTTTAAACTAACAAATCACCAGCTGAAAGACAGAGAGCAAGCAAATGGCTTGGCAAGCATGATTCTTGTAAGAGTGTTCTAACGAAGAGGAGGACTTCACCTGACACACGTGGGGCAATTCTAAGATCGCAGTTTGTCACCATCTTCTCTTTGCCCCCATTGCAGTACACATCTGCACTGACCCACGATGCAGTCCTGGTCATAGCAGAGGCTTTCCGTTACCTCCGAAGACAGCGTGTGGATGTCTCCAGGAGAGGCAGTGCTGGAGACTGCCTGGCTAACCCTGCAGTACCATGGAGCCAAGGAATTGATATAGAAAGAGCGCTGAAAATGGTAAGGGCGAGTGTGCTGGCTAATGAATGTGTGTATTCCACAGCAGCAGCAATTCTGCTGGGACTGTGCTTGTGTCCTGCCCCGTGTACACAGAGCTCCTGCCCTCACACAAACAGCTGCAGCTCCTCAGGGGGAAAAAGAAAGAAAGTGAAAACAAACTTAATGACAAGCTCCGAAGGGTGGATAAAATGTATTCAATGGAGAGCAAGGCATAACAAACTAGCTCTCAAAGCTTCGGCCACAATCTCATCCCTCTAATACTGGTGCAGCAGCTGCCTGGTTGTTCACACCAGAGCACCCACAGTCCCTCAGATCCCCCGTCACACCCCAGCTTCCCCTGAGAGTGAGCATGAGCCTTTTGCTGTCAGACATGTATTGGGGGGTTCTAAAGTCTGAGCCTGCAAATCTGACTAAGAGAACTAGAGTGGGTCTACAGCATGTGTATTGTAAATCTTGCAGGAATACATGTATTTATGAATTTAAACACAAGTGTGCAGTTTTGTTATTTTGACAGTAAAAAGTCAACTCAGATTGGTTTAAAGCAGAAGAATTGTTGTTGGTCACAGCAGTACTGCTGGATTTCAGCACCAGCCTGAACCTTGACACAGTTTAGCCTCCAACCAGTTCTGATTCCTGGCATAACACTCAAAACAGATTACCTGCTGCATGGCCAATTTTTTATCCCTGACACTAGTTATAGTATGGGATCCTACCTCACTTATGTCTCTAATGTTGTTGATTTTTCACTCTTCTTATGCTGCTATTTGTGTTAAAGCTAGTGACAATGAAAAAAATTGAATAATGTTTTTGTAGATACAAGAGACAAAAAGTCTGCTTTTGATCTGGCTCAAATAACTCTCAAATAAACCTGTTAGAATTGATTATATTAATGCAGACATAGAGCTGGAGTGAGTGAGATCAGAATTAAGCCCATGTTAGGTGTAAACAAATCCTAGGTCAACCTTCATACACTTGGCTTAATTACTGCTTTTTCTCAGTTACCAAATTGTTAAGGATTCTATCAGGAGGTTATAATGAATTGTGGGCAGTTGTAATCGGATTATATTGCTCTTAGGAGTGAGAGAGGTGGTTCAATCTCACATAAAAAGAGCCAGAGCTCTTTTTTATGCCATTTTGTCACTTCCTAACTGCACATTCACTAATGTAGTGTTGCATACTTTTGAAAAGAAATAACTGAATTCAACCTTCACAATAGTTAAAGAATTTATACTGTCCATTTGAACTTAATTACAAGCAAAACATAAAACTCCTCTGAATGAGGTATGAAGTATTCATGTCAGTAGAGAAAACTAACACTTCTACAGGACACTCCCTTATTTAGGAGAATTTTTTTTTAAAAAACATATTAAAAAATATTATAAAAAGCCAAACTCATGATTGGCAAAAAATGCAGAAGTTTGACTTTTGGCTGGTTGCCTTGTATTGTTTTAGCTATCCAAAGTCATGCAAGTGAGTTTTATATACACCTCCAACAAGAGCTACCCAAGACCATCCCACAGTGCCTTCCAGTCCCCATCCTGTTCCATCATCCTCTCTCCTTCTGTTCAGACAATGATCTTGAATCTTTGCTTAGGAAAAAAAAAAAAACAACTCTGATTTAACAATGTTTCCTCTCTACTCTGTAGCATCAACTCAGATAAGAATATTTTTTTCTGAGATATCCTTGAAATATCCATCCCCTGCCAGCAGAAGGTTCAGTACCACACTATAGTTGTCCTGCTGGCCAAAGAGAAATAGGCATTACTTGAATCTTCTTCCCTACAGCCTTGAAAACTGTGCATGTCTTTGCTTCTGAAGCTGATTCTAAGACATGAGGTCAGTGGCAGTTTGCCTGAGCAGATCTGGACACTTATAAATAGTCACTGTGTTTGTGATTGCCTCCACATGCTGCTACCAGAAGAGTTTCAGTCCTGGTGAGCCTTCCTGCCTCGGTGCAGCCAGGTTTTGCAAAGTGCTGAGTTTTCCACTAAAGACAGAAACAAATTAAATTTGAAGTCCAGAGGTGTCCAGTGCACGAAGCTCATGTCTCCATGCACATCAGGATGAAGTCGGTCTAACAAGCTCTGCTGGGACACACAGTCACTGCTGTGCTAAGGTAGCCAGACAGCTTCCAGCAGGAGCCAAAAGCAGGCACAGCAGCTCACATCTGGATGCAACTTATTTGTCAACTACCCTACAAATACATTTGCTCAGTCCACAGTTGATAAGACCTCTTAGGGTCAAATTTGGTTTTCAAAGTCCATTTCATCTCTCTAGCTTTCTGGAGATGAATAACTCACATTTTCTTCCAGCCCCCTGTAATGATATAAACTATTTTAAGAAAGGTTCAAATCCATTTACTCGTATGTCCGTCTGAATTTGGCTCACTGGATAATTTAGGGTCCGTGGAATTTTGGTTATTTTATGTAGCCTTGTCCACTATCTCTAAACTGTGAACAGCAGATCAGTCACCAGCCCTGAACAGTTTGCCTTTGACTAGTCTAACATCACTTCTTCCTGGAACTTCCACAGTTTTTGCTAAATATTAAAGCTAATTTACCCCTCCTGAAGTTTGAGACTGTTACCTCTTCTGCCTGAGATGACAGCTTGTCGGTGTTGCTAAGTGATGTGAGTGAAAATACCTCATCCTTTAATACAGGGAAATAAGAAAGACTTTTTCTTTGAAATGAGGTACTTTATACTTCCCCTTTGGATGATTCATGTGAGTAGGCAACGCTAATGACTTACCGTCTGCACACCCATCCATCCCGACCGAGACCAAAACTCCATAAGCGGTAGAGGCAATTGTCTGTGCTCATTCAGAGAAGACATTCATTCCTTTCTCCTGCACTGGGACTGATCTTAAAATAAAGCACTTCCTGGAATGTGCTATGTCAGTCTGGTCCACACTGCAGATCGCTCTGTACCATGTTGTGAGGGGTTTAATGGCACTGAATTGTTGCTCGTGCCTCGCTGGTGCTCTGTGCTGTACCAGTGAACCCAGCGTGACCAAGCGTGGCAGAATCAGTCTTTCTTACATTTAACATGCCTGCAGGGCTAATTTCACTTAAATGCAGCTCACTCTGCGGCAGTGAGTCACCAGCTGAGTACTAACTAACAAATATGTACAGCTGGAACTGAGAGAATTTGGATTGGTTTTGTTTTGAAGAATATAACTGGCTGTGTCAAAAGCACTACCAGGCTCTTACATAGATAAAAATTTGGCTAGAGCTAGTGGGTTCCTGCAAAATATAACAGAACAAAAAGATAAAGTGAATCTTTTATTAAAATGTTTTTCCTGTTTTTTCCCTTAAGGTGCAAGTACAAGGAATGACAGGGAACATCCAGTTCGACACCTATGGGCGGAGGATGAATTACACCATTGATGTGTATGAAATGAAAGCTGGTGGGTCACGGAAGGTGAGTTTCAAGATATGCATCCAGATTTCACACCTTCACCAGAAACTAATGAAACAAAAATACCATAGAGGCAGTGTAATAACGGGGCCCTGAGAAATCCCCACCTTCTCTGCTGTCTTCCCTATCCCAGGAACCTTCTCTATTCAGTTCCTGGACTAAACCACTCACCTTGCTTAATGTCTTCATTGGTTTCCATGTCAACTTCAGGCACAACTTCTTCCTTTAAAACCCTTCTGGAGGTTTTCCACTGCCAAGCATAATACCTGCTGTCATGCTCCTGTGCTTAGCCTTCTCTTCTAAATTTTTTCAGTCTTTCCTTCCCTAACCATATAGTGCTTTAGAGCCATAGTGAAGCTGGAACCAGTGAAACCTTCTGAAATTAACAGAAAATAAGTTTGATTTTAGTTAGAATTTCCTACTCATTCTCTTGTCTCCTAAATAAATTATAGATCCTAAGTGGGATAATCGCCTAGTTCTGTGTTATAAAAGACGTTTAAGGCAGATTTTCAAAAATAATTAGGTAGATAGGGTCACAGAAGTACTGAGAGAGGAGTCTGCATAGCTGAGTCTCTTAACTCCCCCTGATTTCACCTGGAGATAGGTACCTAACCTGCTTGGTCACCACTGAGACTCCTTAAACACTTCTGCACATGTTTGATAACAAAATGCCTGTGGACATGGCTCAGGCACTCATGTAGGTGTACAGTGCAGCCAACAGTGTTACTTCTGTGTTGTGCAGAAATATAAAAACTAGTGTAATAGCCTAGTGGTGTAGCCACAGCACCACGAAGGTCAGCACTAGCCAGCTGATAAACAGTCACCTCACAAAGGGGTTTGTATCCTGTACTGAAGATAAAGCTGCTGTGCCTGCATTGCTGACAATGTCTGCATCTGCTCTCAAGCCAGCTCAGGAAGGTCTGCAGGGGCTGTATTCACTGGCCAAACTGCAGCAGAATATGGATAAAAATTACAAAATCAGAGAACTTTATTCAGAATGCTGGGCAGTTTATTTTCTTGCCTGTAGTATATTCTTATGCTGTGGAAACATGGGAATTTATTCCACAGGCACCACGATGATGTTGATTGAGATAGGGGAATTTAATATGTATTTTCACTTTGATTTGGCTTGTGCTTATTTGCTCTTGGGATTGAGAACATTGTTTCTTTAAGGAAATTAACTTAAAGCTAATGTGGTCCTTTAATGACAGAAACAGAAATGTGAGAAATGTTACAAACCCATATGTTTTGACAGTTTCTTTTATAAGTTCAGGTACCAGAGTCCTTGTAAAGGTATGTAATGAGATAACAATCTCCATTTTTATAGGCTGGTTATTGGAATGAATATGAAAGATTTGTGCCAGCATTAGATCAGCTCCCCTCTAATGACAGCTCATCTGTGGAGAACAGAACTATAGTAGTCACTACCATCTTGGTAAGTTTTATGTTCTTAGTGTGTTTGTGTTTAGGAAACAGGACACGTGGCTCCTGAGGTGTGTTAGACACCTCGCCAGGAGGCAGATGTTGAATACTGTGTGACTTCAAGTGACTGGAAAGTTCAGTATCTCCCAGAGATGTTCTGAGGGCTTGACCCTGCAAACTTATCAGTAAGTTTGCTCACAGGAGGAGCTCACTGAGCTCACCATTGTGTTTTGCTGCTTCTCAGACACTTGAACTCAATTAAATGCCTCATGTAAGTGAAGTTATTGTGCATGTATATAAATGACCATAGGATCTGGCCTTTCTGCTGTAGGGTCAAATCTTGCACCCCTCACTCAGGTACAGCTCCTGTAAACGCAACCCCTGTGGACTGAGTAAGGGTGGCACAATGAAGCCTGTAGAGAACTGGAACTGCTCTAGCACTGTGTGAAAAGCAGCCTATACCTGTGCAATTCCAAAGGAGCAAAGCTCTTCCTGTGTCTCACGAGCAGCAGCACCTCCCAACGCCTCTACAGACCTGCTCTGTACAGTATTCATTGTGACTTTTGTGCCTGTTACAGTTCTGCTAAGCATGAGCCAATTTTATGCTATTTCCTGAAGCATTGTATTTTATACTCCTATGGATTTAGCGAGATGTAACCACCATTTCAGCTAGAATTTCCCAAGAAGGCTAAGGGAATTCAGTGACAAAAAATTCTGCTGAGGATTTTAGCCTAGATTCCCTTAGGCTGCTTTGGAAATACCTCCATCAGAGCCCCATTCTAGATCACTGGGGCCTTAGGAAATGATGTTGGTGGTACAGGTGTTGGGTATGTCAGTCCTTAAACACTAAAACCTGAATTATTACTGCAGTGATGCTATTTGACTGCCTAATCAGGCCTGCAAACAGAAGTGTAACTTTGTTTAAAAATCCTGCTGTCTTCAGTGGGTCAGTACTAGGAATGCAATCAACAGTATGTGTGGCTGTAGGATCAGCCAAAGATTTTTAAACTGCAGAAGTCTGTCTTTCTAATTTCTGTACCAAAGCAGGAAATATTGTAAATACTAGCCAGTAATATAAAGGATAATAACAACTCTCATTTTGTGTGGTTTACAGCTGTATTTTACATTCATAGACTTTTGATCTTTACTTTTGTTTCAAAGGAATCACCATATGTAATGTATAAGAAAAACCATGAACAACTAGAAGGGAATGAGAGATATGAAGGCTATTGTGTAGACTTAGCTTCTGAAATAGCAAAACATGTTGGAATAAAATACAAACTGTCAATTGTTGGAGATGGGAAATATGGAGCTAGGGACCCTGAGACTAAGATATGGAATGGCATGGTGGGTGAACTGGTCTATGGGGTAAGTTTCTCTTAACCTTCATTTTACTGTTCTTTATAAAAAGTTATGCTCAAAGTTAATAAACTGCATAATAAAGATCATCTGTTTGAATACTACCTTTAAAATTCTAGATATTTCTTTGTAGAAATTTCTTTTAATAGTCTACTTTTCTAATTGTTTCATTGCAGGAAAGTGTCACTTTTTTACTGCTGTTCTCCAAATCAGAGTCCACAAAATGTTGAGAAGTAGCATTGGGCAAATTTCAAATTCTTGTTTAAAGCAGAATTTCCAGTTTGCCCTTCATATGCTGCTGCTTCATTTGCCACATCTCCTTTTTCTGTATCAGTCTCCTAAGTGCTGGGAGGGTGTCCCTCCCATTAAAGGTCTCATCTGTGATTCTGGCCCTCGTTGAGTCACTGATGCTGGTTTGCGTTTGACCAGAAACTAAAGACTCAGTTAACCCCAAGGTTGTTTTTATCTTTTTTCTTTTTAAACCCTTGATTTGGTTTTAAAAATCAACTGGCAGACAAAAAAAAAAAAAGCCTAATTCATTGCATTCCTCTATATTTCTATATTGGGTGTACATTGCTTTGTTTAGTAAGAACAAAAACAGTCCGGAATTGCCATTTTAGAAACTTCTTTGAAAATGAGAATTTTGGAATACAGATAAACCAGATGGAAGGGGGAGAAAATTGGCTCTGCAGAAAAGACTTTTCAAGCTGATATTTCATCTTTGCTTTTTTTTTTTTTTGCCCCAAATGCTAATGAGATGATTTGTGATTCCGCCCAAATCTTTTTTACAGTTTATTTTTAACAAGCTTTCCTCTATTAAAAATATCTGAGCAGAAGCGAATATTTCAATTGCTTCCTTTTGTTCCATGGCTGAGTGTAATTTCTAAAAGTCACCTCAAAATTTCCTTGGGATAATACATCATCATTCTTGCAAAATGTTTGGTGAGATAATTCTTTTCAAATGAATCAGTCTTCTTAAAATAATTACTAGATTTGCAGAAGTTTTCTTACTCTGGAGCAGTCAGTTCTGATGCCTTATTATATATGTGGTAGTCTCTTCAACCTCAAAATATTTTATAAAAATAAAAATGTTTTTGTGGTATCATATTATGGCAGGAAGGGAAATGTACTGATGAGAAAGTAAACAGGGGACTGGACCCCTGGATTACATCTTTGCTTCCCTGTTGCATTGAGGTTTGACGTTAAGCAAACCTTCTGAACTCCCCATGCCTCAGTTATGCAACTTGGGAAACTGATGTTGGCTCTGTTAGAGAACACAAGTCCATTGAGAACCTCTGAAGCAAAGGTTTCATTTAGTTCCGAGCAAATTACATTGCACTGGAAATCTAAACCCTCAGTTTCTCTGTGTGTGGTTCTAGAAATATCAAGAATATCAGCTGTAATTGGGTCCTTTTGATCTATTTTCAAGTGACAAGCAGTTTATTCACTTAAAAAAATAATCATACCATAGGCAAAAAGCAAGGCAAAAGAGAACCTGAACTTGCTGCTAACAGTCAGGCACAGGGACTGTCTGCACTAGAGGAGGAAAGGTGTGGTGTGGGCAACTTCTGCTGGGACTTGAGCTGAGTAAGATGAGCCTGTGCAGCTGCTGTGCTATGTAAGATCCATCAGGATAAAGGGCCACAAAAATGCTCAGAGGGGTGGAGTACCTCTCCTATGAGAAAAGACTGAGAGAATTGAGACCGTTCAACCTGGAGAAGTAAAGGCTCCAGGGAGAGTTTAGAGCACCTTCCCGTATCTAAAGGGGTTACAAGAGAGCTGGAGAAGGACTTTTTACAGGAATGTGTAGTGATAGGACAGTAAGCAATGCCTTTAGACTGAAAGAGGGTAGATTCAGATTAGATATTAGGAAGAAATTCTTTACGGCTCTGAGCAACCTGATCTCATGGAAAATATCCCTGCTCATTGCAGGGAGGTTGGCCTAGATAGTCTTCAGAGGTCCCTTCCAACCCAAACAATTCTGTGATAAACAGGTTGGCTGCAGCTGCCTTTTCCACAACCCCTCGGGACGAGCCTTGCTCAGAGAGCTCTGCCTCCTTAGCATCAAACTTAGCCCTGTCCATGTCCCTGTGACCAACCATACTTGTGACCTTTCCACACCAGCAAGACCAGCCCTGCAGGCACCACAGACCGTAGTTTAAAACAACCCCAAACCCACCCCACCATGCTCATTTTCCCCTGCAAAAAGGTCTGTCCCTTTGTGTTCTGAGCACAGTTTGCATCTGTGTTTTCTTGTTAATGAAAAATTGAGGAATGTTTTCCTCCCTGACCCCCAACAGCTCCTGTGCGCAAGCTGTGAGCTCTGTTACTGAAGCCTCTTCGCTGCAGTGCTCAATTATTCAAAGGTCAGAGTCATCCCATGAGGTTTGAGTGGAGGCCCAGGTTAATTCCTACAGCCCTGCTCTGCTGAGCCAGCTCCCCGGCCTGCCAAGCTGAACTGACTGGCAAGCTCCATGGAAATCCACCTGGATTTCTGTAAGCAGAGGAAACAGCCCATGAACTCTGAGTGCAAACCTCACCAGCCCTCCAGACCTTTTCCCAGCTCTATTTGCAAACATCATGAAATACCCTTGGCCTCTTCCTCCATCTGTTGAGAGGGGGCTGTGTACCACACTCATGAAAACGTGCACTAAGCACTTTGAAGATGAGAAATGCTCTAGAAGTGCTAATTATTTGGAGCAAACGCCTCATTTAGGTACTGACTTTCCTTTATCTCTCAGGGGCTTAAAACTCTATTAGGGAACTAAAACTGTACGTTACTCTAATGCCCTTGTGAGCCTTGTCGGCAAAATGACTGTCAAATTTGGCTCCTCTGGATTCCATTTTGGGAAGACAAGAAGGAGATTAGATTTTAAGTATCTTTATTAGCATGTATGGAAGACGGACTTGGGGAGATAAAAGGGTCCTGATTGGTTTTGGTACCAGTTATCCAGCAGCTGAGCTGAGTTGTGGCAGAAACACAATCCTTTAGATTGCATTTGTCTCACATAATAAACAGGGACTAGTCATTTGTCAAATACAGTGTATTCCTGACCCAACAACCTCCTCACCACCACCTGGCACTGCTGGGGCTTTTTGAATACTGTGCCCTTTTTTGCTTAGCCCCATGCATACGACTCTTTCCTAAAATTGCTCTTAGGACAGTCATAGGAAGTGAATGGCTTGTCATTTTAATGTCAAAACCCTAATTAACTATATTTAATGTTTGGTTTGTGCCAGTTTCTTTGTTACTGTCGCTCTTGCTTCCTGTGGAACGCAGCACAGAGCCAGGAGAGAATATGCAGCCTCCAGACCACTGCTTGGAGGGCTCTGAATGTCAAGGAGCAGAGGGATGGGTGGGATGGGAGGGGGCTCAGACTGCACTGAGCTGTACCCAGAGCAACAGGGGTGCTGTGTCACTGTGCTACAGGTCCTGAGGCTGCCCAGCACAGCCCTGACTCCAGGGTAAGACTAGCCAGAGGTCAGCATTAACTAGGCTGACTGGAGCACTCCTGGGAGTTACACATTGCCATTTACCCACTAAAATACTTCCCATTAGAAATTCTCCCTCTGCTTTCTCATATCACGTCAGTGGTTGGAGGCATAAAAGTCTGCTGTGCCGTAGGGTCTCCGAAGTCAAGGACAATCTCAGCTCTCCCTCTTGGGCCTTTCCTTGCAGCTTTGCAAGGGCCTGTACCAATGCACCTGGTTACTGAGGGATGGGAGCCCTGGAGGCAGGGAGTTCTGCCTGAGCAGATATTCCCAAACTCCCTTGCTTCAGGCAGGAGAAGCCAGAAGTCTTGTTAGAGAGGAGCTAACAGGGCTTTGTGGTTTATTAGCAATTTTTAAATGTTGGTGATAGTAGTAGGAGTAGAGATGGTAGTAGTAATAATAATTAATAATGATAATGAAATTTGATGTAAAATGAAATTTATCTGATTTTTTGTAACTCAAAAAGTGTCAATTCAGGTTGGAAAAAAACCTTAATTTTGCTCTTTCATTCTGATGGTGTCAAAATAAGGCTTCATCCTAGCAGAAAAAAAACTACCAATTCGAGCACTATTATTGTTTTAAACTAAGAGCAATTTCTAAAGCATAGTGGAAACTTTTGACAGAACAAAAATAGAAAATAGATAAGAGCTTTTTTTTCCTGGACATTTCAGATGAGGGAAAGTAGCTAAATCATTCTCAGACCAGGAGACTGAATCACTATTTAAATCTAACCAGCAGAGCAATCCAGCAGGGCAAGTGCTGTCCTCCAGTAACCCATGGGCCGAGGATGTGCCCTCAGCTGGGGCCGTGGAGCAGCAGCACCTCCCTCAGCACGGCCCCATGAGGCCAGTGCTCGGGGCTTTGTACCCACCAGCTGCTGAGCACTAGACAGTCGTCTTTTCTCTTCTGTGGGGTCAGCCTCTTTCTGTAGGCTTTTATTTCTTCTTTCCCTTTTAAAGCAGGCTGCTGTTCTTCCTTCCCTGTTCAGCCAGGGAAAGCCGTCCCTCTCCGGCCCTGATGCTTTTCACAGCGCTGAGGCTAATTGACAGGAGGTTTAACACAGATCTTAATTGTAACTACAAATGCTTTGGGAATGAAAAGAGCAGCCAGACCTTACAGCCTTTAAAACTCTTCTCGGGTTAAAAAGGTCTTTGTAAAAACCTTTCACTATGTAAAATAGCACAAAGGAATGAAGCAGGGATGTAAAGGACAGGCAGTCTCCAGAATGCAGCAGTTTGTCAGAATGAGGCCACCAACACATCTCCCTGCCTTTAGTAGACTGACCAGCTTCATGTGGTGCTGGCCTCTCAGGCTCTCCCAGCAGTTGAAGAAATGCTGCAGATGGCATCTACAGCCTTTGAATTGTAGGAGAGAGGAAGACTAACTCAATTCCTAGTTCTCATCAAAATGTCCCATGTGCTCTTAGTCCGTGGCAGAGCCTGACTGTGCCATGAGTGGGTGGGTGAAGCTTGCCATTCCCTCCTCACCCCTGGTTTCTGCCATGGTGGCACTGCCACGCAAGGGGACAGGATCACAGCCCTGGCACAGAACCACACTGCTGTGGGCCCAGACTCTGGCTGACCTGGGTCTCAGCACAGACACAGGAAGCACACATGCCCACAGCTCCAGAAGCAGATGTACCCTTTATGTCTCCATCTGCGTGTGGCAGTAGTGTGTCAGAAAGAGCTGTGGGCATCCACATAAAGCACAAATGGACTTAACATTGACAAACTGCAGCAGACAAGGCCAACTGCCCTTTTAACACCTTAATACCTTTTTACACTGCTCAGCTAGTACACATTAAGATTTCAATGCACAGCATGTCCCTAGTCAGATATCAGCTGTTGGTTTTAAATAAGTGTGAGCTAGTGTGTTAAAAGCACATTGCCCCCATGACCTGGCCTCTCAACACACCCCAAATATCCTTGGGGATACTGGCCTGTCTTTACAAAGTTAGCTTTTGCCAGCAAATACCACAAGTGATGTGTCGCTCTGTCTGACACTCTTTTCTCATACCTGGAAACCTCAGACTGCAGGGAGAAGTCTTAAAACATGCTCAGAGTCAGTCACCATTCCAACACAGTCTCTTCTGATGCCTCAGTGTACCTGTATTCAGCACTTTTGGGGTGCCCAGATGTTTGGCTGCCAGTGGAAGTCAGACAGTGTCTCTTTGCTTCAGTCTGCACACAGAGTGCTGCCTTGCCATCACACAAAGGTCTTGCAAAGTGACTGTAGCTCAGACCCACTTCTTGCAAATTGACACACGAGCAAAGGAGTTGTTCAGTTCTGCGGGCAGGAATGACCCCAAGCACGTGCAGGCAGGAGCATAGCCTGTATCTCTTGCTGTCTCTAGTGCATAGCTTTGAAGTTAGGGAGAGTCATCTGTAAGCAGAAGAATTCCATCCCTCCTTTTGGATTACAGAGGTGGAACATCTTATCTTTTTTCTTTTCCACATAGAAGGGGATTTCCATTTGCTGTTTTTTCTCCTTCCCCATAAGAGTCTTGAGGTTTGCAGCTCCCTGGGGTCAGCTTTGAGCAGAGTGGGCAGCGCCTCTGTGCTGCATGTCCTCTCTAAATCCATCCCTCCCACACTAGTAGGCAAAGACAGAACAAGCCTCAGAGGAATCCATGACATTTCTTGCCCTGCTCAAATGCAGTGAAGATGATGTTTGAAACGCCATTAGTCATGAGTGATTAGCAAAGCTTAGTTGTTGAGGTTCTTAAACCCCCTCCAGTTCTGCACAGAGAGGGACATGTTTCTGGTTGTGTTCTTTTTTATCGAGCTCAATTTGTATGGGTTCTGCTTATCTGCAGCCATAACAGGGAGGGAAATTCTCAAGAGTGCTGCAGTTATTAATGATCCTTTAGGGTGCTTAGAGCTCTCCATAAGCTCTCCATTTCATACTGTATCTCTAAATAAATAAGCAAACTGCAAACTGGTTTTTAACCTCCCTAATGCAACTAATATTCAGGGAAGTGGTGGGCAACCAGGCTTGGGCACTGGATTGTAGCTGGTCCACCCTCAGTGCTCTGGTTGTTGATGGTTTCCCAAGACCCTGCATGTGAACTGATGTTTGTTCCCTCTGCAGAAACCAATTGCTGCCATGTTCATTTAGGGATGAGGGTATTTGCTGGTGTTTCCAATGTAGTGAACACCTTTGGTAAGAACAATAGGAAAAGAGGGAGACTGAAATGTGTCAGAAAGATAAATGTTTGTATCCCTTGTAATATTGAAATGCAATTTGAAAGTATTTACAATGAAAATCTGTACTGTATGATATGAATGAGGACATGGTAGCAATTGAGACCTTTAAAAAGCGATTTGTCTGTGCTTCAGCACAGCATCATCTTCATCCCCCCAAAGTCCCACAGGAACATCCTACATGAACTCAGCTGGGCATGAAGGAGATACAGACCTTATTGCATGCTGCATCAGCACTTAGGAAGAACTCCACCATGTCTACTTTGGCAATTAAAATGTTACTTTGGGAGAATTAAATTTCTCCAGGTCCAGGAAAACATTCCAGAAACTAGATGCTCTTATAGCTGAACCAGCCTTTTCCTTCCTTGACAAGGTGTTCCAAGGCTGGTAGTCCACGTGCAGAAGTGCCAGGCAGTAAGACACCTGCATCCCACCTAAGCTTCAATTCACATGGAGGCATTGCTAAGTCTCTGCAGGGGTCTCGATCCATTAAACTTTCTCTAATAAGGATTAATTTGTAAGTACCTCATTAGTTCAACACGAAGTACAGTGGCCATGGTCAAAGTGCTCAGTCTTCCAGCCAGCCGTGGGCTCTGACTGCATTTAAAACTGATATTCTGTGTGCATCTCATACTGACTGCAGACATCTAATATTTAACAGTAGCTCAACGAGCAGCAGCTACAAGACAAATATATGTTTTGGGGGAATTCTTCAATGAAAAAGTTCCAACATCATCCAGTTCTTTTACCTCACTCTATCCATGTCCCCCCCCAGTCTCTCCATTACTTAGGTGATGAACACATTCATCTGCAAAGCCAGTAACACCCAGGCATCCCAAGGCATTTTCAGGTTTTATATTCAAGCCACGTTAAGCTAGATTTTTGCAGTAAGTGACCACATAGCTGAGGGTTTTCTCCTTGGGGAAAGGGTCACTCAAGGGGAAAGGCAGTGTCCCAGTACACATGACTGTCTAAAGGGGCTGAGCAGGGCTGTCAGAGGAGGCACCCAGGGCCATGGTTTCCGAGTGGCTTCCTTACATGCACAGGCATGGCTTATCTGATTATTCCAGGCAGTGAATTTGTGCACATACCTTGTAGTTGCACATGCCAGGATAAACTGCTGAGGGACATTCCCGAGCAGCTGGAGGAAACGCAGAGGTCGTGTGTGCAGACAGTGCCCTGTGGAGGGAGGGCTTATTGTGAGGGGGGCCCGTGCTCATCCGACAGGGCTGCCAAAGCCTCGGTCAGCAAACCCCGAGCCAGTGCCCCGGGCACTCGGTGCTGCCAAGGCACCAGCGGGCACAGAGCCCATGATGCTGAGATCAGCCTTAGCAGAAGCCTTCACCATTTCTGCTTATTAAACTTCAAAAGAAAACCTCAACCAACTATCTAGGAAGAGGAGCAAACCAGACATTAATGATAGTCACGTACATCACCATTAGATTTACATGAAGGCATATTCAATTGTTTTATGGCACAGATTTTAATCACTTCCTTTTAATGTTTCCTATAACTTGTATTCAAACTTCTACTTAATCAGGCTTTATTTTTCCACCAGAAAGAGATACATAGTTAATAATGGGGGAAAAAATCAGATTTAAAGGTGCACAGTGGTTTAGGTCCTGGTAAGTTAATCTTTCTTGCATAGACATACAGATGCAGTTAAACATGTTGAAAATCTATTCTGGAATGTTATTTGTAAAGGAAACCAATTTGTTTTCACATTCCTACCCTGCCATGGAATCCAGCAAAGGTGTATTGATTGAAGGGAAGGGTATTGGGTCAGGGTATCCCATGTGCTGGTCAATGACAGGTGCAATAGATGTGATTGTGCTTCCAGATGGCACAGCCCCAGAGCATGGTCTGTGTTACAGGGCTGCAGAGGCAAATCCAGTATAACAGGAGGGCACATAGGAGACTGAAAAATACTGCTTTGCATTCTTTTCAGATTACCCAGGCTATTTACTCCTCAGGGATTCACAAATCTGTGTTACTGTCCTTCAGTGAGCACAGAAAGGGTAGGCTGACTGGTTCCTATCCCCCACTATTTACTATCTTCTGTCCTTTATTGCAGTGGAGTTTCAAAGGAGTATACAAGTAGCAGTACCCAAATGCAGCTGAAATTCAGTGACTGATTACTTCTCATAGGTTCATTTTAAAGATCCTATAATCAGTAAGGCAAGAGAGCTTACTGAAAGAATGGAAAAGACAAAATTAAAACATAGAAAACATAATTTGCCTGAAGTCTTCAAGACAAATGGGTAGATACAGACCATTACTAGAAAATTACATTGTTTTAGTTGCCATCTCACTGTCCACTTTGTGTAGTGTTTATTCATCCTTTTAACTTAATAGAAATACCTGCCTCTGTCATGAGCACCTTGCACAGATTTGATTGTAATTTTTCGTGTTAATTGTTGTCTATTAATATCATGTAGTCCTTAACTTCAGTGACTGCAAAATAGACTGCAAAGAATGTTTCCACTCACTCTTGCAATTTATCATCTGATTCATTAGCCTGACATTCTAGATTGTGCTTCTCTTGTGTCTGATTTGTAGCTAACTTGGGTTTGTTTTCCCTTTTCAGAGAGCAGATATAGCTGTTGCCCCCCTCACCATAACACTGGTGCGAGAAGAAGTCATAGACTTTTCCAAACCCTTTATGAGCCTGGGCATCTCCATCATGATCAAGAAGCCTCAGAAATCTAAACCGGGCGTATTCTCTTTCCTGGATCCTTTGGCTTATGAAATTTGGATGTGTATAGTCTTTGCTTACATTGGCGTCAGCGTAGTTCTTTTCCTAGTCAGCAGATTCAGCCCTTATGAATGGCACTTGGAAGACAGCACTGAAGAACCACGTGACCCTCAGAATCCTCCTGACCCTCCAAATGAGTTTGGAATATTTAACAGCCTTTGGTTTTCCCTGGGTGCCTTTATGCAGCAAGGATGCGATATTTCTCCAAGGTTTGTTCCATGTCACTCCATCACCTTTTTGCATTTTATGGTCATTTTCTGATGCCATGGTGCATATATGTTACTTTTTCAAATTTCTTTTTTAATTCCAAATTTTTTATTTTGAGATTCCATTCAATGTTCAGCATCATCTTCAAGCCACCATGCTTGCTAACATTCACCTCCAAAGTGAGTAGCATTGCTTATAATGCCATTTATGCATTTCTGCCAAACTTATATCCACCATGTTAAGGCTGTAAAATGCATAGGGTTTTCTGTTTTCAGCAATGCTTGGAGGGCTACCGTGTTTTTGCTGCATATCTCATTTTACGGTCATCTCCTTGGTGCATAAAACACATTCTGCTTTGCAAAATAAGAACTATTTATTTTTGAAAGTCACATGCAACAGCACTTTAAAGCATCTCCACTCCCATTAAGGCTCCTGCTAGTCTTTTTGCTTTCTTTTGAGCCTAATTTCTCCTGTTTTGTTTTTCTTGAATCATCCTTTCATCTATTAGTAATTTGCTTTCCACCATATTTTTGCATATAGTCAGGTCTCTGTATTCACTGTGTCTGTACTGCCTTGTATCTGTATTGCTATTTCAGTCCAGTCTAATCTGTTGTCCCTCTGTTCATAGTCAATATGGTCTAATAAGCATTGCCCGTTTCCATAAAGATATTTCTTATTCATGAAGACAGTCATTCTGGATAAGGCTGTAGTGAAGTATGTTTGACATTAGTTCCAGTGTAACCAAGAACAGTGCTATTAAGTATTGCAGACTTAATTTCTGTTTTAAAGAAGTATTTTAAAAACCACCTGAGAATAGTGAAGTTCCCTCTGATTGAACAGTGCGTTCCACAGATGTTTTTTGAATAACATATAGCATGTTTCTGCATTTACACTGGTAAAATGCTTTAGTGATATGCTTGTGATAAGCAGTAAAATTATCTAGTTTCTTAGTGATGGAGCACTAATTACATTTTGTATGACAATAATCTAATAATCAGTTTACAGCTATTTTAATTATTCCAAATACCTGCTTAGTACAAACAGGATGCAGTTTTTTCTATTTAACAAGGTTGCTATTTAGAAGAAGAGAGGCAGATCTTTTCTAAGCACTGGCATTTGAAATGCACCTTTTTAATCTCCACGTTTATTACCTTTTTTCAATACCCGAATCACTGAAAAGTTGCCAGGTTTTCCTGGTCCATATAGCAGTGGGGTTCTTGAGTAGCCCCCATGAAACAAGTGACTATGAAGTTTCATGGGAAAGATCATGATTTTACCTGTTATAGTGTAACAATGATCCTATAAATTCACAGTCGTTGCATATTCAAATGTCCTTCTGATGGCAGTGAGATCCAGGACTTTGGTAGTTACTGATGCGTGCCTGGTGATATTTGATGCAAGTCACGCCCACATTTTAAAAGTCTTGACAGCAGCAATTGTATTTCATTCTTACCGAGGAATCCGTGTGTACCCTCTGTAACACACACACATTTTGCCCTGGCTGTGACCACGTGTCAGTTCTCCCGGTTCCCTGTGCCTGGGTGTGCTGCCTCCCTGTGTGGTTACAGCTGTCAGTCTGTTCCTCCTGTTCACGCTCCCTGTTTCTGCTTTATGCCTAAATCCTGCACTGAAACTTTGCCTAGCTGCTTGCTGTGGAAGGGGATGAGCAGTGATAACATTTAAATTGCTGTTGACCATGTGTGTGCCCAACATAAAGGACCGGGAAATAAGCACTGGGACATCACATGGAAAGCTGCAGGCATTGCACTGTTTCCACTAGGTCTGGTTATTGACAGTTAAATAGAAGTGCATAGGATTTTTGTTAAGCTCTCATGTGACTCTTTGGTATGTTCAGCCATTTCCCTTATATAACAAGAGGAACATAGTCTGGTTTTTCTTAATAATACCATGATAAGTGCCTTGGATATACCTACAATAAAGAAAAGAGGCAGCAGTATACCTATTTATTTTAACTGTCCGTCAGAAGCTATTAGCTCAGTATTAATATATAACCCTTGTTTGAAAGCATTGTCCAGTTCTTTTGTTATCTTCTATGATAACATTCCAGGCAGTTACATGCATTGTTACTGAAAAGAAAGACAAATTTAATACTTGGGTTTAAATTCCAGAAACACTGTTTCTTTGACCTATATGTTGATTTAAGTTGATTAAAATGTCAAATTTCTTTTCCGTAGAAGGGACTATTCCCAAGTATTCCATTCTTAATCCATATCTTTGTAAGGTTATGCCATTCACAGTACATTGACTATATGAATGTTTCATACTATTTTATTGCCATTAAAAGGGGCTTCATTCTTCCATTGTGAGTTTTGTCTGAATAAATTTCTTATATGAGAGCATACAGCACTTGTAGAGAGATGCCGACAAGCAGTCTGGAGAGATCACTTTTGTACTTGCTGATAAAGGCTCTTTCAGCTGCCTTTGTGTGGAACAGCTGTGACATCTAATGACTAGTTAGATCTATCCTCGGTGAGTATGCTGTGTGGATATTCCAGAGGATATATCCCTATACTCTCCTCTCTATATTTAATAGGAGTCGTCTAAACAGAATCAGAGAGCAGCCAAGGGGTGGGGGTTAGTGCATCCCTTGATGGAATCAACACTTATTTCAGCAGTTTTGTTCTGCTATCAAAGGCTGCTGTGTTTTCTGCATAGTGAGCTAAAGCATTGAAAATTCACTTTTGATGGATCAAAAGTAGATTATTAAACTTGCTTTTATGTGAGATGTGTACAGCAAATGGAATCGGGAAAAGACACAGTCAAATTTGTAACACTGTTTTGAGCGAATGTATCTTTGAAATCTCTATGTGAGCATGTATTTTCATTTTGCTCTTTATTCAAAGAGGCTAGATTAACTAATTGCCGATGGAAAAAGACAGGGGGTTCATTACAAACTACCTCAAGAGGTTGGTCATTTCAAGGGTGTATTTCTAGGTCCCTGTTTTAACAGCAGGAGACTCGAGAGACTCCTATTAAAGGCCATGGGAATGACTTTGTGGGACTTTCACAGTAGCAATGAGAGCCAGGTAACTAGAGATTTCTGAAACTCCCACTGCCATTCCTATGATGGAAGCATCTCAAGCCAGTGCTTCAGATGCTGTTGTTGAGTGTGTTGTGTCCCTGTAGCTGAGGCGAGGGCTGGCTGGGTGAGCAAGTGAGGGACTGGGCTCTCAGGTGACGTGCTCAGAATATCAAGGGCTTCTAGGCCAGGAGAGTTTGCACCAAAGTTGTTCAGGGTTATTTGTCAGTACAGCAACCACCTTGTGTCGATCCAAAGAGCCCAATTAAAAATTGAGTAGTTGTGAGAAGCTTATTATTTCTGTGTACTATAGGAAATCAAATATGTTTTATGGCCATGAGCAGAAACAAAATTCAAACTATCTTGATAAATGAGGGTTTTTTTGAATGTATTATTCTCCTGGAAACTGAATGTGAATTTGAATATTTATTTTGTTTTTTTCTCTCGTTACTAATTTGCTCTCATTTGACTCCATGCTTCCTTTTAAATTTCCTCTCAAGGTATGCACTCTTCCTTGCTTTTGAAAACACCGTCTGACTCTGTTTTGACTATTGAGTTATAATTGTGTTATTCCAGGTCTGTGTTGCTCCTCTCATTTGTTAGCACTCTAATTCACTTTAAAATAATGTCAGACAAAGTATCTAATTATTGAGGGGATTGGGAAAACTACATGTTGGGATAAAGCATTAGTTGTTTTGGTTTTAAATTACAACACTACACATGTGAACAGGTGTGTCTTTGTCAGAAAATGTGGTGCTGGTATTAAAAGCTGTGATTGATTTTTCTGTAATTATCTGAGTAGTGGACAAACATTTCTATGGGTCACAGTACAAACCATATGGTTATTCTCTGATTACCAGCCTGGTGTTCATGTACTAACCCTTTTTCTCCTGCATCCCTCCACACCAGCCCCTGCAGTGGGTATAAGGAGTCTTCGTATCAGCAGATGGCCTGGGGGGAACTGGGGTCCTTTGGGCAAGGAGGCTGCCAGGCCATGCTTGTCCACGTCCTTGTTCTTCAATTCTGTCTGTCTGTCTATCCGTCTGTCTTTCCTTCAGTGTCAGCTTTGTGGTTTATTTAATTTTTCTTTTGCCCCATCCTGTGCTCCCACCAGTGACAGCCATGTCAGCCCAACTTCGTAGTAGCCGCTGTTTAATCTTCCTTCCTGTGCTCATGGGAAGACTCTGGGAGAAACAACTTCAGTGTCATCCAGTTTTCTTTCAAGTGACCAACTCTTCTGAAAACAGCTCTGGTCCCCTTCTAGCAAGACCCCTCTCTTGCATACAGGACCCCTGAGGAAGTGCCTTCTTCATCAAGGGATCCCCCCATGCCCCCCTTCCCCTGCCTCTCAGCTGGTCTCAGTTTTTGTCCTGCATCTGTCTCATTTGGTTCATGCAGGTTGCAAGATCTCTGGGGTGAGATATTTTTACCTTTCTTGGTGTGTTGGATGCTGTCTGAGCATGCAGCCCAGCACAGAGTTTTTATTGTTGCAGCAGTGTGAGCTTGATGTTTCACTGGTTTGGAAAATGCTTGTCTTCTGCACATCTCCATCCCAGCAGCCCATCTGTCCTGCTAACAGAAGGGGCAGCTGCCAATGCAAGTAAGAAATTTCCTATGGGAAACAACAAGAAGAATGAACACATACTATTTTATTCCCAATGCTTCTACTGAATTTATCAAAACACTCTGGCAAGTCTTTTTTTCATCTTCCTTTTTCAAGGCCTACCTTAAAGCAACAGGGCCAAGAGAACCTGGAAACTCCAGATAGAGCTAGTTCTGCTGTAGGCAAGTGGATGTTTCATCTGCTGTACCTGCTACCCAAAACCTCTGCTCAGTCTGGCTCTGAAATTGTCTAACTCATGCATGGAGAAGTTCAACTCCAGATCTTCTCTGAAGACAGAAAGTATGTAGTGAAGGAAGGAGCAAAAGTAAGATGAGTTTCACCTGATGTAGCCAGCTGAAAGCAATGGACTGATTTTTGGTGAGGCATCTTGGTTCCCTCCAAAGTCATGAGACAGATGACTTTAGATTTATCCTACACTACAGCAAATGAGATAAATCTCTTTCTAAGTATGTCTGTCTCCTCTCTTTCTGTCCCTTGGCTCCAAAGGAAGCTTTACATGGCGAGTTCAGCAGGCTCTGCTTTGTAGTTGGCTAAAATTGTGTTAGCCCATGTAAGAGGCCAATTCAGTGTGTAGGGAGAGGTGGAGAGATTCCACGACTTCATGCATAATTCTGTATTTATATTTCTTCAGATTCCCTTTGCAGCCACTCAGTAGCCTTCTGTTAGTGAGCACAGCAGCTGTACAGCCCAAGCTGAAACTTGGAAGCCTTTTATCCTCTTGGGGGCCTTTAAGACAGGCAGGGAAGCCTCCTCTGATTCTGGGTGATCCAGTTGATGTGTGCCTGCCCTGAGGAACCAGCCTGCATCTGCCCTCTTGGTAGGAGCTTCTGCTTCAGCTCGTTGGGCAGAGGAGAGTGGAGAACAGTAGAGCTTCACCTCTGTGTTTCTTCTCCACATTCCTCTCACCTATTCCAGATTGATTTCTCTGGTTTTATTGTGTTGGCAATTTTTTTAGTTTGTTATGTTCTTTAATGTTGGATGGATAATTTTTTTTCTTTCTTTTATTTCTTAATAATTTAATGGCTTTTTTTTAATGGCTCAGGCAATCTCAGGCTCTGGCCAAGACTGGGCAGTTTACCAGCAAAACCCCACTATGTGGGTGGGGTGGGGGCACGTCACGAGACTTTTGCTTTTTGCCTACCTCCATCTGTTGGTAGGACAACTTGTACCCACTGTCTGGGGATGGCACTGAGGGGTTTGAAGGAAACAAATAATCAGGTAAGAGTTTTCTTGCTTTTTACTTCTCTTCACACGAACTGAGGACTACACCACCCAGGTTCCACCGATGTGTCTGGGATTATTTCTCCACGTAGCAGAGCTAAGGGAAAATATATGAAATAGCTTTGTGTCAGCACCTGAAATGATTCTTGGTCAACATGCTGTTTGAAGGACAAGCACTGTTTGTGGCAGTGACATTCCCCACTCGGCTGAGTGACATGGCACTGGCATCCTTCAGCCCAGAACAAATACTTTGAGCCTGATGTTCAATTGCTGTAAAGCATCAAGAGCTCTTACTGACAGGATCTAGACCTCCTGACCATTAGGCATTTTGTGATTATATGTTTGCAGATAGGCTTTTTTTTTAATCCTTATTGGATCCCTTTAAAAAACCTCAACAAAACCAAAACACAGTTAATTTTTTTTCTATTTCCTTCTCCATTGCTCTGGTGGTTATAAATCAAGAATATGCTTGACTTGGAACAGTGCAACATGCGAATTTTAATTAACATAAAACATAAACCAAACCAGCCTCTCTCCTCACTTCCATATGCAGATTCAGTCTGTAATTCCTGCTCAGTTGTGATGAGAGAAGGATACTGCATCATTTTTTGGTGTATTCCTTTGCATGTTTGCTCAAATTCCTTTTTGCAGTTTACTGTATCTTACATTTTGGGAGTTGATGCAGTAAAAAGTGCATTTGTGTACTCCAAGCTGGGCAGCCCCCAAAGAGAGACAATAACAGCATATCACAGCAGGCAAGTCCAGCGCAGGGAAAGATGGGCACATGGAAAAGACAGAGGTCTTGTGACAAAAGCCTTCTCCAGCAAAGTATTTGTGGAAGTCAGGAGAGCTTGTTCCTCTCCAAGCCTCAAATGAAGTATTTCTTAATTGACTGTCCTTGTTTTCACTGAAAGGCAAAGGGATTTTCACTAGATAAGACCAGATGCGCTCGAGTTTTCTCCCTGATGAAGGCTCTTAGGAGCTGGCTCACAGTCCACCTGTTCACAGATACCTGGAGGATCTGGACAAAAGGGTTGTGCATGTGAATTTCTCTTCAGTGAAGAAGAAAAAAGTCAAGGAATGTCTTCAAAGCAATTTGATCATGTGTGTTTTTCCATAGATCTCTCTCAGGGCGAATTGTCGGAGGAGTCTGGTGGTTCTTCACTCTCATCATTATCTCTTCCTACACTGCTAATCTCGCTGCCTTCCTTACGGTGGAAAGGATGGTTTCACCCATAGAGAGCGCAGAGGACCTGGCTAAACAAACCGAAATAGCCTATGGCACTTTGGATTCAGGTTCAACCAAAGAATTCTTTAGAGTAAGTCTGTTCAATCTCCACTAGAGTTTTTCTGAACTGTAAATGCCTAACTTATGGGTTTCAGTTGTTTGGTTTTACCCAGCTGTAATAGCTGTTCTGGTGAAAGCTGCTTTGTGCAATCAGGACAGGCCTGAGTGCAGATTTTAATATCAAAATGCATTTTATCGAAAATGAGTGGTTTTGCTCAACCTGAAACATACCAAGATGGAAATCTGACCTCTGCATATCATGCGAAAGGTTTTGTAACACCAGTTCCAGAACCTTGGTCTGATGAGCAATAATGCAGTCGTTAGCACAATATTTAGCAGAGAAAACTCTTTGTGGGGAGTGATGCTCTTGACCTACTTGCTCTGCGTGCCCAGCTGGCAGCCGGTAATGCCATCCGACATCGGTGCTCACTTGCCAGAACGAAAGGGGGATGGGAGACGTGTTGCTGCTCATTTCTGTTGGTGCACTGATTGCTGCCATTGTTGTTTCTGTGTCTTGCTCGCTCACCAGTGTCTGGCTGTGGCCCTGTCAGGCAGTCAGAGGTAAAACTTCTGTACCCCAGAACACTGGGGTGTATTCACCTTGGTTAGAGAAATGCTGGGTTTGCAACATTTGGGGGTACAGGGGGTGCACACTTTTATTTACGATCCTTTCTCTCTCCTCTCGCCAAGCCACAAGCTGAACTGCAGAGAGTTTGGTGAGGGGCATTAAGAACTCTAAATATGACCTCAGGCCACTTTTATGTCTCTGAAAACGTTGTCCTGAAAAGCTCTTATTTCTGGCCTTCCAAGGGCAAACTGAAATGCTCGGCCCTTTCAGGGTTCTCTCTCAGTGGTGCCAATCAGGTGCCATTCAAACCAACTTTTTTTTGTATAGAAAAGTGGTCAGTGCTGCAAGACTAATTACTGCCTGTCACGCATGCTGGCCAGGTGCAGGGGGGAGGGAGGAGGCAGACAAAAAACCCTTGCTGCTGTAGGCTGATGAAATACCGAGGGCTCCTTGAATAAATCCTGAGGGCTCCTTGGATTTATTTAATATTTCAATACATGACAACACATACATGTATGTACATCTAATGTAAAGATGAGAGTGAATGCAAAGGTATTTTATGAAGCTTTTGTACGCTGCCTTACCTACATGTAATGTCTTTACATTCAGATGGATACTCAGTAGTTCTTAATTAACTGTTGTAGCTGGTACATTACAAAGGCTTCTGTTTGTGTTAAAATCCTGTGAGGTAAACACTGACCTTGTAAGGGTGACATTAACGTATAAAAAGTTTTGTTCCATTTAATTATCAGCCTGAGGCAGTATTATCTGCACAGCAAAAATTAGTTGAGTGGACCTGTCAGAAGAGGTAGTACAACTTGATTAGAAATATTGGTTCTGTTTATAGTCACTATACTGTTCTTAGAGGGAAAAATATCTTCTTTTGAATATCATGTTACTGTTAATACAAAAGGAGGGCTTGTATAGGGGTGTTTTTTCATTTCCTTAATAGTTTGACACAACAAGGAAATCCCTTCTCGTGAAGAGATCAAAGGAGTGAGTGTTTTGTGTGAAAGGATACAAAGTCTGGTAAATGTATGAGTACTTTGTTGTGCTGTTGATAGTCTTGAGATGAGCTGTGACTCTCTCCTGGTGCTGGGGAAAGCAGGGCTGTAAATGAGGCTGATCTGTCAGGAGCTGTCAGCTCCATCTGGCCAGGAGAGGAGTCGGATGGGGATGGAGGAAAGCAGAGCCCTGGTAGTGTGGAGTGAGGCTGGATGGGCCAAGTGGGAAGAAGAATGGGCCCTAAGTGGTGCTTCTCTCTCTTCAGCATTCTCAAGGCACACAACATAATTTCAGTTGTATTAACTTTTGCAGAGTAATTAATTTGAATAGGGTGATGCAGCCATGAAAGTGTTGTAATTAGAGTCTTCTTCAGTTGATTTGAAAAGGGCAAAAGCTTTGCCTTAGGTTAAATGTGTATGTTCACATAAATACTAAATTGTACAGTCTTTATTAGTTACTTAATGAGAGGGTAATGGTGGCTGAAACTTGAAATAAGTCCTAGAGGACTCTGGGTTTCTGAGGTCCTACAGCACAGACTGCACCTCTCTGTGTTTTAGGGGATTTGTTCTCCCTTGGCAGATCTTTTTTCACTGTTTCTGGAACATCAGTGGGAGTGATGGTACTCTGAGTCAGAAAAGCCATGGGTTTTCCTGGGTACAGGGTGATGTTTATGCCCTGTGTAAGGGGAATATCCTCTCTCACCCATTCTCCCCCAGCATTTAACCAATTTAAGCAGCAGTTGGCTGAGTGGTTCAGGATCAGGTGCCCAGTAAGAAAGGAAGTTTTAACTGAGGGAAAGGTGCATGAGGAAATTAGTGCAATCCTTGTTTCCACCAGTTGCCCATGCTTATCTACACACTCTGGCTGTGGCATGTGTAGGTAAATCTTCCCTAGAGATGGGGGAAGTTACCTGGCTGTGAGCAGACGGTCAGCACATGTGTAGATGCAGCAAGAACAGTAACTATCTCTTCATAGAGCTGTAAGGCTAAAATGTTTCTCAAAGATATTAGTCAGATATTGATCTTAACGGTTACTGTTGGCAAGAGAAAGGTGCCAACAGAAAGGAAAAATTGCTTCCTCATGCATTGTAGAGGGAGCTTCAGATCCCCACCGTGTCGTCTGCATGTGCTTAGAAGGAGCTCCTTCAGAGCCTTCAGGCCATGGCTCCCTTCTGCCAACCCCATTTCCAGATAGGATCATTTTTGAAGGTCTCCTTTACAGTGTGAATACCTGTGAATACCTGAAACTGGAGCGATACCAGCCCCTCAATTCAGATGAACAGATGGTAATGACTTTCAGCCACTTCAGGCCTGGGCAGACTCCAGCCAGTGACCTATTTTACAGTCCTGGCGGTTTCCCTGAGCATCGCAATGTCTCCCGGGGAGACGCTGTCCCAGCCATGTGGGTTCAGCTGGATACACCATGGCTGTTCCAGGCAAGCCCAGGGACTGCTGTCGGCCTGACAGCGCTCTCACAGTCCAACCACAGCTGGTTTGTTGTAACAGCTTCACAGCAGACACTGTTCACACTTCTCACTTGTTGGTGACTCTCTGTGTAAGGGAATTTGTCCTCCCGGTGTATCTAAGAATCAAAGGAACCTTCCTGTGTTTTCATGGTTGTTGCTTGTTTCTGCTCAGAAACATTTTACATTTTGCACTAATTAGCTTATAAAGGCATTTAAATGGCAATCAATAGATTACATCAATTCCCTTTTGGCTTTTAAAGGGCACTCATCCATATTGAAAAGGAAAAGAAAGAACCTCTCCTTAGTTATTTATTAACACACAGTCCCACATTAACAATGCCAAAATACCTCTTTCTCTTTCTTGAGCACTGGTGGAGGCCTGTACAAAAAAGCAGTTTCAAATCACTAAACTACTGCTTTTAAGGGTGTATCTGTTAGAATTATCTTCTAATACATTCAATTAAAGTTTCAGCATATCTGAGCAGCTTATCAAATCAATATAACACTATTTAATCTAAATGCAGCACTGAGCCTAAGTATAATACCACAGTCTAATAGGTTTCACCTCCAATATGCATATATTCAAAAGGCATGACCTTTACAACCAATTAGTAATTCTTGTATAAACTTGGCTGTATTTGAACTTCAGTAGAAGTAGAACGAGTTTGTAGACATTTAGAAATCTAAATTACCCCTGAATTTGTGGTGGCTTAATTGATAACAGATATGAGTGGTGAGAGACTTCTGCAAAATAACTTGCCAAGTGTGTGTTTGATCATTGACAAACACAGCTGACCTGCTGGTACACTTCACTGAGAACCTGAAATTTCAGAAGGTGCCCTCAAAATTTATCTGGTGTGATCAGGCTCTACAGGAAACGGTGAGGCAGGTAACATGTAGCAAGATCTTCTTCCTTTTGTGGGCAATTGCAGGTGGCTCATATCACACCATTACCAATGTAGTTAATCACCATTAACTAAAACTAAGGAAAAAGAAGGTCTCAAAGGAATGTTGTTTTATTGTAGAATTTTTTTATTTGTATATTTCTCAGCAATAGTTTAAGGATGTCTCCAACCAAACAACTCAGCTATCCAGTGGCTCTCCCATGCCTCGGGTGAAAGGACTTACTGCCCTGAAGTCAGTTCCTAATTTTTTTCTCCTGGAAATGTCATTAGTTGCCAGGCCTGTTAGGAATTTCAGTAGAAAGGCCAAAGACCCTCTGGGCATGATGGTTTCTGCTCTTACAGTTGGTTCATCAGTTTCTTCAAAAAGTGGTTCTTTCCAAACCACATTCAGATGTGAGGCCTTTCTGGACTTTAAAACTACAGGTTTTAAGACACAGGAAGTCATGTTAAGGATGGCCCCCTAAGATATTCCCTGTTTTTGTCTCTTCTTGGTTTCATCAAGTCAGAATAGTTTAGCAGGAGCAGGTAGAAAAGCACAAGATGCTCTGGCAAGAGGCTTTGCATTTGTGGTTGCCCATGCTGAGGAAAGGTGCTTTGACGTGGGAATAGCTACCAGAAAAAGCATGTAAATATGGTAAGGGAACTGGTGAGGTATTTCTTGAAAAGAAATTTAAGTACAAGTTCTTTAGCTGGTAAAACTTAAGCCGACACAGAAAACAATTTATTCAAAAGCAAAGAAAAAAACAGCAGACAGATAGGCACCGAAGCTGAAAATGAAAATTAATCTGAAAAAAAACAGTGAAAGAACAAATGAACACATTGCCTCCAAATTCCTTGGAAATTAAAAGAAAATATTCTTTAAACCCATCAAAAAGATTTTGAAATAACTTCCACTAAAAGCTTTTGGGGTAACTCAGACCTCCCCTCCTGTTCAGCACTGATGTGTGTCGGGCTGTGTAACGTGGGGCTGTGGTGGCACCAGTGGGTCCCTCCTGGCTCGTGCAGAGAAGACTCCCCATCCAGGTGCCTCTGGGGCACTCAGTACGGGCAAACTGTGGTGGACAAGGCCAGTGCTGTGCTTGGGCAGC